GCCATAATATCACAGTTAGATTGCCGACGAGTGCCACCACTCCTAACACCCAAATACACACTCGGAGTATAGAGTTTGACATCAGGTCCTCGCAGGAGGAGAACTCGAGCTCATCGGGCGCTGGATTGCAGGTCTCGACGTGTCGGGCCAGACAACAGAACCGGAACTCATCGGTTGTCCTATTAATTCATTTAATTAATTAAATAATTGATGCATGTTTGTAAATATTTATCTATAATAATTATTATTTATATTATTGTATTGATTATCAATTGAATGCATTTATATTTAGTGTTGTGCAGTTGAAAAATGTTCATTTATTATTTGTATTTTATATGCTTTCATTAAATTTGTGACAATTGATCCAAGAATTAAATGTTTACAATATTAATAGTGAAATGTTTTAAACGACAAAAATTGATGTCTTAATTAAAACCTTTTAATTTATTATAAAAATGTTAAAAATAATGAATTAAAATGTCAATTAAATTGTAAAGTACAGTACATGTAAGGGTACACATTTCCTTCCTTGGTTAAATATAGACTTCAACATTATTTTCTATTCCCATATTTATAAATTATGCCCAAATGTTATACCATTTGATTTAGATTAAATAGAATGCAAGTTCATGTAAATGCGAGCATGTACAATTGTCAATTGCACTGATTCTGTGTATGAGAACACAATTTCACTATTTCAGTAAATATAAGTTTATTTAATAAACAATGATATGAGAATTCCTTGAATTCGGGATAGTTTGTTTGATTAAATTGTTTGCAGGGCTGCAATTTTCACCCGGACTTGATTGGCACAAATATTATACAAATCACAAACACTTAAAATTGTGATTATTGTATGTAATAAATATATCAAATATTGCTGATAGCCTTAAAAGTGATTGTTTAACTGTTTGACAGAGAATTATATGGATTGATTGATTTCCAATTAAGAAATTGATAAAACAGGTATACAGTACTTAAGGTAAAATTATAAGTAAACTTTATACCACAAATACAATATAAAAAGCGACATTCAATTAACGCAAACAATTTGTTTAAACAGCTTTTGCGAAAAGTTTCATTAAACAAACAAATAGTTGCAATGAAATTGTCGCTACTGTTAGTGGCAGTGGGAGTGTTGGGAGCGCAGGCCGACTGGCAATTGGTGTGGAAAGATGAGTTTGACGGCACCCAACTCAACGACAACGAGTGGAACTACGAGGTCGGCGGCAGCGGTAAGTGTCTCTCCTATTGAGTTCACACATTATAAACAATACGAAAAAGGGTTGAAATTAAAAATGAATTGATCGGTTGTATGGGCACAGGTTGGGGCAACAACGAGCTCGAGTACTACACGTCGCACAACGGCAACAACGCGCGCGTAGACAACGGCCATCTGACCATCAATGCCAAAGTGACTGCTGAGGGCGGAAGACAGTTCACCTCCGCTCGACTCACATCCAAACAGTCGTGGACTTACGGCAAGTTCGAGGCGCGCGCCAAACTGCCCAAAGGCAAACACTTGTGGCCCGCCATATGGATGATGCCCAAAGACAGTGTCTATGGCGGATGGTATGTGTCAATTACATTGATCATGGTACATCGTCGCATCATTTAACATGTTATTTAATTGCAAAATAATAGGGCGGCGAGCGGTGAGATCGACATAATGGAAGCCAGAGGAGAGAGGCCGTCAATTGTGCAAGGTACCATTCACCATGGTGGCGCCTGGCCCAATAATGTTTATCACGGCTCTGGTGAGCACGACTTCGGCCGAGACTTTACCGCCGACTTCCACACCTTTACGCTGGAGTGGAATAACAATCAGATCATGTGGTCAGTCGACGGCCAGATATATCACACCGAGAATATCAATAAGAATATGTGGTCGGGAAAGGGCCCGAACCCATACAACCACAATGTGGCCCCATTTGATCAGCGATTCTTCTGGATCCTCAACGTCGCCGTCTCCGGCAACTTCTTCCCGGCCAACATCTATGGCCCGCCCGTCACTCCCGATGAGGCCCGACAATGGGCTAAGCCTACAATGGAGATCGACTATCTCCGCGTTTACCAATGGAAGTAAACCATTTGCGCTCACATTCATTGTTAATGCACTTATTTTATTGTTAAATAAATTTAATTTCAATTTAATCCACGTTTTATCTGTTCTTTGATATGAATTCACTTTCAGATATATAATATCTTTTGCACAATAGAGAGAGAGAGAGAGAGAGAGAGAGAGAGA